ATATCAAGGCTTCCGCTACGCCGGCACTATGCCTTTCTAGCACTTCTCACGGGCGCGTCTGTACATAGCGGGCCACGGAGCGGGTCTGGCCAAGATGGTGTTCATGCTTGAGCAAAGCTCCGTGCCCGAGATTCGCCCATAGGGCTGCCATGTGATCGTCTACCATGCTCTCGCCAGAGCTTGCTCCCTGCGCTACCACCTCGTGCTCAGCAAGAGCGATTGGTTCGACCCCATTGTGGCGAATGTGAGTAAGGTGGCGCAGGTGCTTGACTCGGTTCGTGCCCGGATTTAAAAGGAGGATAATGGAGGTGTGTTGTGTCGTTGCACTAATCAGGCCCAATTGGAATAAAATGATTCGGTTTTGTTGGAGACACGGTGAATATATTATTTCAGGGGAGGAACAGCGGAATGATTGGACTGAAACAGAAAGTTGGTACAAATACCTGACCCTAACCTCGGCTGTACATTATCACCGATGGTGCAGGAGAGGGTGGGGGTGGAAATACCCTAACTTTAGTTTGGTCGTGTGCGTTCATTTGGGGGAAAATATGTCACAAGTAACCAACATGGGACTCGATAACGTGAATGGTAAAAAATTAACGCGTACGTGTCAAATTGCAATTGTATCTCTAGGCTACAGTAGGGTCACTCGTTAATGAGTACAACACTTTAGGGTTAGGTTTCCCCTACTTGTACTCACCTCTTGCCTAGTTCAATCATTCATTCCTAGTTCTATTCTTGACATGTTATCAGAGTAGGAACCGTTCCTACATGGGCCCACCGTTCCGCCTAGTGGTAGCGCCACGCCCTACACAGTAGCCAGCGCGCTGTCGCCCTTAGCTCTCACTGTCGCGACCCTTGCAGCCCGTGCGCTGCCCCTGCGACCGCACTGCCCCTGCAGCCGTGCTCGCCCCTACGACCGTGCTGCCTCTGCAGTCGTGCTCGCCCCTGCTACCGTGTTGCCCCTGCAGCCGCGCCTCCCCGAGGACCTTGCACTGGAAGGTCTCCATGAGTCCTTTCTGCACCTTTTGAATCTCCGTCATGCTGCTGCTGAATAGCAGTATGTCGTCGACATACACTAGGAACAGCACCATCTCCTCCTTCTCGCCCTTCAGGAACAAGCTCTCATCACAGCTGCTTGCTTTGAAACCCAGCTCCCCCAAAGCGGCTGCCAGTTTTTGATACCAACACCTTGGAGCCTGCTTAAGACCGTAGATGGCCTTGTTCAGCTTGCATACTCTCCCCGTACCGTCCTCATATCCCGAAGGCTGCTCCATGTAGACTTCCTCCTCGATTACCCCGTAGAGAAAAGCTGTGTTTACATCCATCTGTTGGATGTACCATCTGCTCACCGCTGCGTCAGCGAGGATTACCCTCAGCGTTGAAGCTTTAGCAGTGGGCGCAAAAAGCTCGCGAAAATCCTCCCCTTCCTTTTGTTGAAAACCCTTTGCCACCAATCTGCTCTTGTACACTGTCACCTCGCACTTCTCGTCCGTTTTGATCCTCACGACCCATTTGCACTGAAGCGCCCTTTTTCCTTCCGGCAAGGGAACGAGCTCCCATGTGTTATTTTTTAACAGGCTGTTGTACTCGGCATCCCTGGACACGAGCCATTTTTCCTTGTCTACTCCTGCGAGGGCTTCCTCCATGCTCGAAGGTTGTTCAGGGATTACGAAGCAGTACGCCGGCTCTTCCTTGCTTTCAAACTCATTTTGTCTTGTTACTCCCCCTGAAACCAGCAGGTACACTTGAAACAACGGCTGCCCGCGGACAGCATCAGCTGGAGCCCTGCAGCAAGTGCTGACCGATTGCAGCAGCTGCTGGTGCAGGACGGCAGCACCAATGATCCCCTTTCTTGGTAAGTAACATTAATCGTAGGTCGTTCACTTGGCACCTAACTCATGTAAATGATAATGAAAACTGAAGAATGAACTTATGTCTCCCCCTCCAGCGTATAAGATGCTCCTCACCCCACTCCCCCTCTCACTCATGTGTTTGTAAGCATGCCCATGTGCAAACACATGAGTGAGGAGTGTGGTGCTACGTGATGTTCGGTTGGGCAGCACACCTTGAGGAACCCGTCCATGTGAGTGCTGCATCAGCACCATTGACTCTCTGAACCTTTGCAGATGTTGCACCATGTGGAATCGGGTGGACGCCGCTCATGCGGCTGCATGTGATGTCATGTCCTTTGGCGGGTGCGGGCTGATCCTTGTCTTCTGTCTCCTTGTATGTCAAGTCAGGCATGCGCACGCCTGTTGTTGCATATCCCACCTGGCTTCCAGCATCATCTTCATCCTCCACTGCTGCAGGTAACCCATTTGCTGCAGCACCTCCGTTTCCTTTGGTTGCATTGTCTTCATTAGCTCCAGGCAAGTCATGTTCAATGGAGTCTCCTTCATCCATCTTGAGCCTTTGTCCTTCTCCCCCTGAAGTCCACGCCGCAACGTGGGGTGAGACTTCATCATCATGTTGCTGCCATTTCAGTAAGGACCCAGCTCCCATCAACGTGTCATCAAAGGTGCGCGGTGAGTGCGTGTCCTTGTAAACGTCACGTATCATGTCCCTCATGACATGAGCCATGTGCGCAATACGGTAAGTGTCGGATGCAGGAGCAGATTGACCATTCAATCCGCCATGACCATGCGCATTCGATGATGCATCCTTATGAGTATGTCCAGCTTCATGGGCAAGAGCAAGTGCTGGCTGATATTCCATCATGAGCACTCCATGCACGTCCTTGCCAAGTCCAATTCGTACACCTCCATCTCCATTAGGCATGAAGATCTCGGTGTCGCCATCAGCAATGGTGCGAATCCGGGCTCCCTTTTTCAGCAGTTGACAGAAAGAGAGGAGATTGCTCTTCAAACCGGTTACGTAAAGCACTTACGTGTAGCGCACCGTTGTCCCATCGGGTGCCGTTGCTCTGATCGTGCCTACCATTGAGTTGTTCAGTGTGCTCCCATCAGCAAGCTCCACCTTTACTGGCTCGTACAGCTCCTTCAAACCCTCGAACCACCTTCTGTCCGAGGTCATATGCTGGCTGCATCCGCTGTCCAGCAACCACAGAGAACCTCCAGCACTTGGTGAGGTCGTCTGTGACGATCGAACCGTCGCAATGCATGTAACCATCCGTTTGTTGTCTTTCCCGACTGCCCCTTGCTTCTTTATCCCGTTGTTGTCACGTTTGGGGCTGCCACTCTTTCGAGGAGAGGACGAACGGCTGTTGCTGGTACGTCGGTTGGTCCTCCTTCTGTTCTGTTGTTCCCACCCCGGTGGTGACCATCCTGGTGGTGCCGTGTGACACTTGTAGAACGGGTGGCCCAGTTGCTTGCAAAACTAGCACATGAGAGTTGAGCGTCCGCCCTTTCCATCATTGCCCTTCATTTTCTCTCCGTACGTTGCTTGATGTCCTCCGTTTGAAGTTGCAGCATTCATGGTCCCGGTTTTCTCCGTTGCATGTGATATGTCGATGCACGCTTGACCAACCATGCGTTGCTTCCCGCCGTTTTGATCGTAGGAGTGATGCTTCACCACATCCGCGCGATCACGTCGCAAATCACCATTTGACTGCATCCCCTGTCCCGTGTGCTCCATGCTCCATGCAGGATCCATTCCCATTAGTGGACAAGACGCGCGAGGGGGTATGATGTTGTCTTCAAGAAGGTGAGATCTGCCCATTACAGGGGCTCCAATGGAATAAGAGTTAGTGGCAAAACGTTGAAGTGGGGGAGCACCAATAGCGTAGGATTCAAGTCCTACACCTTCCACGCCCACATTATCAAGTTTGCCACTCCCTTCACCAATTTGCATGTTGAATTTTGCTCTCAATGTCATTTGGAGTGCCGGTGATGCCCTTGCAATCATGCTCTCCAGGTACTCATGTTGAACCATTATGGCCTCTTCAAAGGCCTCGTATGCAGTGTCGACTTCATCGTCGAACCGCGCCATTGCCTTGATCCGATAGTTGCCTCTTGCTATGCCAATTTGCTAACGTGCCTGTCCAATATGACTGTAACAAGTTTCTGACCAAATTTCGGCAGCATGCCTTCTAGAGTAGCTCTGATACCATGCTAGAAAGGCATAGTGCCGGCGTAGCGGAAGCCTTGATATATGATAGAAAAGCAAGAGAGACCTTGCAACTGAAAGGATTCATAACAATGGAATGGATTATTATGAGATCACACAGCAAGGCATTTATGCTATCAGCTACCTTGCCCATATCCACCCATCCACACCAATAATTGTACAATTATTGTAGGGCCTAGATGCTTATAGAGGGGACTACACTAAAATCTAACAGCATATAATATTCTGATGCCTTATATTTCCAACAAGAAGAGGGCACGGACTGAGAGGGTGGGCGGAGGCGGAGGGAAGAGAGGAGGGGAGATTGTGGTTCATTCTTAAGATGAAGTGCAAGAGTACCGTAATCCCCCGGATAAAAGACCCTAGGGTCTTCTATTGATTTCAAAAAAAAATGAGGGGGTCCTACATAAATGGTACAAAAATTATAAGACCCGGGTCTCAAGATATTGTATGTGTTTAGACAGATGTAATGACTTTCATTCATGTAGCAAGTGATTGCTCCGTTAAAAAAATGCTCAATACCCACGCGAATCGGTTTCAGCAGGAGGCAGGCATTATCAGACTAGAATCTGAATGTGGCATTCTGATTGGCCACATTCTTTGGGGCGTAGCGCTCGAGGGGGGGTCGATTGAAATGTACCACGTCCACTGCACCGTCTCAGGCCGCCTAGGTATTGCTACACCTTTTTTTTTCCCGAAGAATGTAAAAAAAAAAAAAAGGGAGGGGGGGGGTCTTATAATGATTTCACCCCAAAAGGGGGGTCTAACTCAAACAGCCCATAATAAAAGACCCCCCCCCCCCGTATTAAAGACCCGGGTACATTATTGAGGGGGGGACTTTTATCCGGGGGATTACGGTATTAAAGTACGCATGAGGACAGATCGGACGTGGAGAGGAGAGGTGGGGGGAATTATGGATGATAATCATGCTGGTGAGACCCACCCCGTGCCCCGTGTAGCGGAGTGCTTGTGAAAAGAGGGCACGAACTAAGTGGGGGGGGCGACAGGGAAAGAGAGGGGAATGGAAATGGAAAGAAGAAGTGCAAGGAGCACTCAAATGAGCCTTAGAAGCATGCTCGCTAGAGGAAGACACATGCTCACTTGAGCGAGTAGCCCTCGCTAACGCGTGCAAGGAGTGAATGGAAGTGGAAAGGAGGAGTTGGGGTGGATTCAGAGATGGCGTTTATGTTAGTAGGTGCGGATCCATTGACGCACATCAATGCTGGTTTGACTTTTGAGAATTTCCAAAGGATCCAGCAATGGCGTTTATGTTAGTAGGTGCGGATCCATTGACGCACATCCGCACAAGTGTGGACCCATTAACATGCATCCGCAGAGAGAACTTGTAAGCCAGATTGGAGAGCTGGAGCGTATTGAGAGTAAAAACGAGATGTGGATTAGGCACGGAGAATCGTATGCATACTTGGACTCGACTCAATATACACCTGGATTCTAGGCACTCATAAAAAATCTGTGAGGTTGCAACCCTGGTTTGATTCATGTGAGAGCCGCCCAAAAGACAGAGCAGCAGATGAGGGGCGAGAGATTCCAACCATGCACAGCTGCGACGATTCACACACAACTGCCAGACTGGCCCAGAAGGTATGTAGCCTCTGGAGAACGCTTCAAACCGTTGCAGAGGCTACATACATACCTTCAAACCGTTGCAGAGGCTACATACATACCTTCAAACCGTTGCAGAGGCTACATACATACCTTCAAACCATCCGCACCACCCACCTTGCAGAATCGGCAGCGATCCGTTGAACACCACCACTCTCTCACACCCAAACCGCCTCACCACCTCCTCCTCCACCTCTTCAAAATTCGCCATAGCCCGCGGCCTCGACTTCGGCCGCTTGGCCAGCACGACCACCCAGTCGGAGGGGAAGGAGCGAGCCTCGGCGGGGGAGAGAGGGCGGTGGCTGCGGTAGGTCCAGTCGGGGCTGAAGAGAGGGATGCCGGAGGGGTGCAGCAGATGGCGGCGCCGCAGCGACTGCCAGAGGGCTCGGCTGGGATGGTCGCAGTCTTGGTATATGGGCTGGGGAATGGGGGAGGGGGGGGGGATGGGGGAGGGGGAGAAGGGGGACAGGGTTAACGAGGGACGTTGGGATGGTCGCAGTCCTGATATATGGGCTGGGAAATGGGGGATGGGAGGGAAGAAGAGCTGGAACGGAACGAACTGGGGGAATGGGGGGAGTGGGAGAGGGTTCTGGAGTGGGGCGAAAGGAGGAAAGGTGGGGAAGAGCGTGAGAGAGATGGATGGTTTGAAATCAGGTCAGGGTCAGATGTGAGAAGGTCTGATCTGATATGACGTGCCATGGGATGGCATTGGATGACATACCATGGCATGGGATGAGATGGCATGTGATAGCATGGTTGGTATGGCATGGCAGGGCATGGCATGTGAGAATGCAGTCTACCTACTCCTTTCCATCTGCATGCCATGCCATGCCATGCCACGCCATGCCATGCCATGCCGTGCAATGCCATGCCATGCCATGCATGCCTGTACCTGGTACACCACATTGGCGTGAAAGAGATCTTTGCTGGTCATGGGAAGCAGGTGAATTCGATCTGTGGGATGCCAACGAGTTCAGCCCCCAGCTGCTCATACATGCGCACCTGCTCGTGGAACACATGGCAGGGGAATGGGAAGATGGTATGGGAATGGGAATATGGGATGGGATGAAGTCACCTGTCGACTCAATATATGCCAACGAGTTCAGCGCCCAACTGCTCGTACATGCGCACCTGCCGGTAGGAGCGGCATGGACATGGGTGGGTGGCAAGGGAATGGCATGGGAGGCAAGGGAATGACACTGGAATGATTTGTCAAGTCGCTTCAAAACGAATCTGATCTGCTGGGACGGATGCCTATGAGTGAAGCGGCCATGTGCTCGTACACACGCTCCTGCAGCAATGAGTGCCACGGGAATATGGGATGGGAATGAGTTTTCAGTCGACTCAATGTATGGCAATCAGTGGAGCACCCAGCTGCTCATACATGTGCTTGCCTGCAACGAGTGGCATAAGACTATGAGATAGGAAATAAGCTTTAGTCGACTCAATGTGTGCCTATGAGTGGATGGAGCACCCAGCTGTTCATACGACATTGCCCAACAGCAGATACCCGGCCCACAGCACAACAGTGCAGCGAGAGGGCGCAGCTGCAACAGCTATTGTAAATCATCCAATGGCTGTACAAACCGAAATGAACCCACCTGGACACTTCTGGCGAGAACAGGCAGGTGGTGGTGAGCGAACATGGTGCTGTGCGGACATGGTGCTGTGCGAACATGGTGCTGTGCGGACATGGTGCTGTGCGGACATGGTGCTGTGCGGACATGGTGCAAGCAAGGGCTTTCATACAAGTACTGCTCGAGCCATACCCACCTGAGCTTTTGTCTGTTCTTTTTTTCTCTTTTTTTTACTCAATCTCCCACCTGGACGTCCCTGGTGAGCACAGGCAGGTGGCGCAGTGTGGACGCCATGAGAACCAGGATGCCATGAGAACCAGGATGCCATGAGAACCAGGATGCCATGAGAAGCACGATGCCATGAGAACCAGGATGCCATGAGAAGCACGATGCCATGAGAACCAGGACGCCATGAGAACCAGGACACCATGAGAACCAGGACGCCATGAGAAGCAGGACGCCATGAGAACCAGGACGCCATGAGAACCAGGAGGCCATGAGAACCAGGACGCCATGAGAACCAGGACGCCATGAGAACCAGGATGCCATGAGAACCAGGACGCCATGAGAAGCAGGAGGCCATGAGAAGCAGGAGGCCATGAGAAGCAGGAGGCCATGAGAAGCAGGACGCCATGAGAAGCAGGACGCCATGAGAAGCAGGACGCCATGAGAAGCAGGACGCCATGAGAAGCAGGACGCCATGAGAACCAGGACGCCATGAGAACCAGGACGCCATGAGAACCACGACGCCATGAGAACCAGGACGCCATGAGAAGCAGGACGCCATGAGAACCAGGACGCCATGAGAAGCGTGTCCTTCTAGGCGCCTAAGAGATTGCCATTGCCTCACTCCAGGCACTGCTCAAACCGAACCCCACCCACCTGGACATCCCTGGCTAGCACATGCAGGTGGCGCAGAGTGGAGGCCATGAGAGGTGCGGCGGCAAGAAATATCGGCACGAGTTCAACGAGGAAATGGTAGAAGTTGTTTCCCGCATGGACTGCCCAGTTGAACACTGCTGTTGGCAGCTCGTGCACCAGGTGGTTCGCGTCATACTTGAGCTGGTGGTGGGAGGGAAGGGAAGGGAACCGGAGGGATTAAGTAAGCAACACTTAGGAGACCTTCCTCGCAGCCCTCCCTCCTCGCAGCCCTCCCTCCTCACACCCCTCCCTCCTCACACCCCTCCCTCCACAGAGCTCTCACCATTCTGGGGAAGGAGCTTTCACCATTCTTGGGAAACACGAGCACCCGTTCCGCACGCCGGCATGCGAGGTTGAGAGAAAACCCGTTCTCGACCCCCCTCCAACACCAACCGTCTTCCCCTTCGCAACCCCTCACATAACCCTCCACCTCTCACCATTCCCAGGAAGCGCGAGCACCCGTTTCACGCAAAAGCATGTGAGCAGTTGAGATAGCTAACGTGTCTAAACAAACACTTCCTCCTCACATCACTTCCTCCTCACAACACTTCCTCCTCACAACACTTCCTCCTCACAACACTTCCTCCTCACAACACTTCCTCCTCACAACACTTCCTCCTCACATCACTTCCTCCTCACAACACTTCCTCCTCACATCACTTCCTCCTCACATCACTTCCTCCTCACATCACTTCCTCCTCACAACACTTCCTCCTCACATCACTTCCTCCTCACATCACTTCCTCCTCACATCACTTCCTCCTCACATCACTTCCTCCTCACATCACTTCCTCCTCACATCACTTCCTCCTCACAACACTTCCTCCTCACATCACTTCCTCCTCACAACACTTCCTCCTCACAACACTTCCTCCTCACAACACTTCCTCCTCACAACACTTCCTCCTCACATCACTTCCTCCTCACAACACTTCCTCCTCACATCACTTCCTCCTCACAACACTTCCTCCTCACAACACTTCCTCCTCACAACACTTCCTCCTCACATCACTTCCTCCTCACATCACTTCCTCCTCACATCACTTCCTCCTCACAACACTTCCTCCTCACATCACTTCCTCCTCACATCACTTCCTCCTCACATCACTTCCTCCTCACATCACTTCCTCCTCACATCACTTCCTCCTCACATCACTTCCTCCTCACATCACTTCCTCCTCACATCACTTCCTCCTCACATCACTTCCTCCTCACAATACTTCCTCCTCACATCACTTCCTCCTCACCTCACTTCCTCCTCACATCACTTCCTCCTCACATCACTTCCTCCTCACATCACTTCCTCCTCACATCACTTCCTCCTCACAACACTTCCTCCTCACATCACTTCCTCCTCACATCACTTCCTCCTCACATCACTTCCTCCTCACAACACTTCCTCCTCACATCACTTCCTCCTCACAACACTTCCTCCTCACATCACTTCCTCCTCACATCACTTCCTCCTCACATCACTTCCTCCTCACATCACTTCCTCCTCACATCACTTCCTCCTCACATCACTTCCTCCTCACATCACTTCCTCCTCACATCACTTCCTCCTCACAACACTTCCTCCTCACATCACTTCCTCCTCACATCACTTCCTCCTCACATCACTTCCTCCTCACATCACTTCCTCCTCACATCACTTCCTCCTCACATCACTTCCTCCTCACATCACTTCCTCCTCACATCACTTCCTCCTCACATCACTTCCTCCTCACATCACTTCCTCCTCACATCACTTCCTCCTCACATCACTTCCTCCTCACATCACTTCCTCCTCACATCACTTCCTCCTCACATCACTTCCTCCTCACATCACTTCCTCCTCACATCACTTCCTCCTCACATCACTTCCTCCTCACATCACTTCCTCCTCACAATCACTTCCTCCTCACATCACTTCCTCCTCACAATCACTTCCTCCTCACATCACTTCCTCCTCACAACACTTCCTCCTCACATCACTTCCTCCTCACAACACTTCCTCCTCACATCACTTCCTCCTCACATCACTTCCTCCTCACATCACTTCCTCCTCACATCACTTCCTCCTCACAACACTTCCTCCTCACATCACTTCCTCCTCACAACACTTCCTCCTCACATCACTTCCTCCTCACAACACTTCCTCCTCACATCACTTCCTCCTCACATCACTTCCTCCTCACATCACTTCCTCCTCACATCACTTCCTCCTCACATCACTTCCTCCTCACATCACTTCCTCCTCACATCACTTCCTCCTCACATCACTTCCTCCTCACAACACTTCCTCCTCACATCACTTCCTCCTCACCTCACTTCCTCCTCACATCACTTCCTCCTCACATCACTTCCTCCTCACATCACTTCCTCCTCACATCACTTCCTCCTCACAACACTTCCTCCTCACATCACTTCCTCCTCACATCACTTCCTCCTCACATCACTTCCTCCTCACATCACTTCCTCCTCACAACACTTCCTCCTCACATCACTTCCTCCTCACAACACTTCCTCCTCACATCACTTCCTCCTCACAACACTTCCTCCTCACATCACTTCCTCCTCACATCACTTCCTCCTCACATCACTTCCTCCTCACATCACTTCCTCCTCACATCACTTCCTCCTCACAACACTTCCTCCTCACAACACTTCCTCCTCACATCACTTCCTCCTCACAACACTTCCTCCTCACAACACTTCCTCCTCACATCACTTCCTCCTCACATCACTTCCTCCTCACATCACTTCCTCCTCACAACACTTCCTCCTCACATCACTTCCTCCTCACAACACTTCCTCCTCACATCACTTCCTCCTCACATCACTTCCTCCTCACATCACTTCCTCCTCACATCACTTCCTCCTCACAACACTTCCTCCTCACATCACTTCCTCCTCACAACACTTCCTCCTCACATCACTTCCTCCTCACAACACTTCCTCCTCACATCACTTCCTCCTCACATCACTTCCTCCTCACATCACTTCCTCCTCACATCACTTCCTCCTCACATCACTTCCTCCTCACATCACTTCCTCCTCACATCACTTCCTCCTCACAACACTTCCTCCTCACATCACTTCCTCCTCACCTCACTTCCTCCTCACATCACTTCCTCCTCACATCACTTCCTCCTCACATCACTTCCTCCTCACATCACTTCCTCCTCACAACACTTCCTCCTCACATCACTTCCTCCTCACAACACTTCCTCCTCACATCACTTCCTCCTCACAACACTTCCTCCTCACATCACTTCCTCCTCACATCACTTCCTCCTCACATCACTTCCTCCTCACATCACTTCCTCCTCACATCACTTCCTCCTCACATCACTTCCTCCTCACATCACTTCCTCCTCACAACACTTCCTCCTCACATCACTTCCTCCTCACCTCACTTCCTCCTCACATCACTTCCTTCTCACATCACTTCCTCCTCACATCACTTCCTCCTCACATCACTTCCTCCTCACAACACTTCCACCTCACATCACTTCCTCCTCACATCACTTCCTCCTCACATCACTTCCTCCTCACATCACTTCCTCCTCACATCACTTCCTCCTTACATCACTTCCTCCTCACAACACTTCCTCCTCACATCACTTCCTCCTCATATCACTTCCTCCTCACATCACTTCCTCCTCACAACACTTCCTCCTCACATCACTTCCTCCTCACATCACTTCCTCCTCACATCACTTCCTCCTCACATCACTTCCTCCTCACATCACTTCCTCCTCACATCACTTCCTCCTCACATCACTTCCTCCTCACATCACTTCCTCCTCACAACACTTCCTCCTCACATCACTTCCTCCTCACATCACTTCCTCCTCACATCACTTCCTCCTCACAACACTTCCTCCTCACATCACTTCCTCCTCACATCACTTCCTCCTCACAACACTTCCTCCTCACATCACTTCCTCCTCACAACACTTCCTCCTCACATCACTTCCTCCTCACATCACTTCCTCCTCACATCACTTCCTCCTCACATCACTTCCTCCTCACAACACTTCCTCCTCACATCACTTCCTCCTCACATCACTTCCTCCTCACATCACTTCCTCCTCACATCACTTCCTCCTCACAACACTTCCTCCTCACATCACTTCCTCCTCACAACACTTCCTCCTCACATCACTTCCTCCTCACAACACTTCCTCCTCACATCACTTCCTCCTCACATCACTTCCTCCTCACATCACTTCCTCCTCACATCACTTCCTCCTCACAACACTTCCTCCTCACAACACTTCCTCCTCACAACACTTCCTCCTCACATCACTTCCTCCTCACAACACTTCCTCCTCACATCACTTCCTCCTCACATCACTTCCTCCTCACATCACTTCCTCCTCACAACACTTCCTCCTCACATCACTTCCTCCTCACAACACTTCCTCCTCACATCACTTCCTCCTCACATCACTTCCTCCTCACATCACTTCCTCCTCACATCACTTCCTCCTCACAACACTTCCTCCTCACATCACTTCCTCCTCACATCACTTCCTCCTCACATCACTTCCTCCTCACAACACTTCCTCCTCACATCACTTCCTCCTCACAACACTTCCTCCTCACATCACTTCCTCCTCACATCACTTCCTCCTCACATCACTTCCTCCTCACATCACTTCCTCCTCACAACACTTCCTCCTCACATCACTTCCTCCTCACAACACTTCCTCCTCACATCACTTCCTCCTCACAACACTTCCTCCTCACATCACTTCCTCCTCACATCACTTCCTCCTCACATCACTTCCTCCTCACATCACTTCCTCCTCACATCACTTCCTCCTCACATCACTTCCTCCTCACATCACTTCCTCCTCACAACACTTCCTCCTCACATCACTTCCTCCTCACCTCACTTCCTCCTCACATCACTTCCTCCTCACATCACTTCCTCCTCACATCACTTCCTCCTCACATCACTTCCTCCTCACAACACTTCCTCCTCACATCACTTCCTCCTCACATCACTTCCTCCTCACATCACTTCCTCCTCACATCACTTCCTCCTCACAACACTTCCTCCTCACATCACTTCCTCCTCACAACACTTCCTCCTCACATCACTTCCTCCTCACAACACTTCCTCCTCACATCACTTCCTCCTCACATCACTTCCTCCTCACATCACTTCCTCCTCACATCACTTCCTCCTCACATCACTTCCTCCTCACAACACTTCCTCCTCACAACACTTCCTCCTCACATCACTTCCTCCTCACAACACTTCCTCCTCACAACACTTCCTCCTCACATCACTTCCTCCTCACATCACTTCCTCCTCACATCACTTCCTCCTCACAACACTTCCTCCTCACATCACTTCCTCCTCACAACACTTCCTCCTCACATCACTTCCTCCTCACATCACTTCCTCCTCACATCACTTCCTCCTCACATCACTTCCTCCTCACAATCACTTCCTCCTCACATCACTTCCTCCTCACAACACTTCCTCCTCACATCACTTCCTCCTCACAACACTTCCTCCTCACATCACTTCCTCCTCACATCACTTCCTCCTCACATCACTTCCTCCTCACATCACTTCCTCCTCACATCACTTCCTCCTCACATCACTTCCTCCTCACATCACTTCCTCCTCACATCACTTCCTCCTCACATCACTTCCTCCTCACATCACTTCCTCCTCACATCACTTCCTCCTCACATCACTTCCTCCTCACATCACTTCCTCCTCACATCACTTCCTCCTCACATCACTTCCTCCTCACACACTTCCTCCTCACATCACTTCCTCCTCACAACACTTCCTCCTCACATCACTTCCTCCTCACAACACTTCCTCCTCACATCACTTCCTCCTCACATCACTTCCTCCTCACAACACTTCCTCCTCACATCACTTCCTCCTCACATCACTTCCTCCTCACATCACTTCCTCCTCACATCACTTCCTCCTCACAACACTTCCTCCTCACATCACTTCCTCCTCACAACACTTCCTCCTCACATCACTTCCTCCTCACAACACTTCTTCCTCACATCACTTCCTCCTCACATCACTTCCTCCTCACATCACTTCCTCCTCACATCACTTCCTCCTCACAACACTTCCTCCTCACAACACTTCCTCCTCACAACACTTCCTCCTCACATCACTTCCTCCTCACAACACTTCCTCCTCACATCACTTCCTCCTCACATCACTTCCTCCTCACATCACTTCCTCCTCACAACACTTCCTCCTCACATCACTTCCTCCTCACAACACTTCCTCCTCACATCACTTCCTCCTCACATCACTTCCTCCTCACATCACTTCCTCCTCACATCACTTCCTCCTCACAACACTTCCTCCTCACATCACTTCCTCCTCACATCACTTCCTCCTCACATCACTTCCTCCTCACAACACTTCCTCCTCACATCACTTCCTCCTCACAACACTTCCTCCTCACATCACTTCCTCCTCACATCACTTCCTCCTCACATCACTTCCTCCTCACATCACTTCCTCCTCACAACACTTCCTCCTCACATCACTTCCTCCTCACAACACTTCCTCCTCACATCACTTCCTCCTCACAACACTTCCTCCTCACATCACTTCCTCCTCACATCACTTCCTCCTCACATCACTTCCTCCTCACATCACTTCCTCCTCACATCACTTCCTCCTCACATCACTTCCTCCTCACATCACTTCCTCCTCACAACACTTCCTCCTCACATCACTTCCTCCTCACCTCACTTCCTCCTCACATCACTTCCTCCTCACATCACTTCCTCCTCACATCACTTCCTCCTCACATCACTTCCTCCTCACAACACTTCCTCCTCACATCACTTCCTCCTCACATCACTTCCTCCTCACAACACTTCCTCCTCACATCACTTCCTCCTCACAACACTTCCTCCTCACATCACTTCCTCCTCACAACACTTCCTCCTCACATCACTTCCTCCTCACATCACTTCCTCCTCACATCACTTCCTCCTCACATCACTTCCTCCTCACATCACTTCCTCCTCACATCACTTCCTCCTCACATCACTTCCTCCTCACAACACTTCCTCCTCACATCACTTCCTCCTCACCTCACTTCCTCCTCACATCACTTCCTCCTCACATCACTTCCTCCTCACATCACTTCCTCCTCACATCACTTCCTCCTCACAACACTTCCTCCTCACATCACTTCCTCCTCACAACACTTCCTCCTCACATCACTTCCTCCTCACAACACTTCCTCCTCACATCACTTCCTCCTCACATCACTTCCTCCTCACATCACTTCCTCCTCACATCACTTCCTCCTCACATCACTTCCTCCTCACATCACTTCCTCCTCACATCACTTCCTCCTCACAACACTTCCTCCTCACATCACTTCCTCCTCACCTCACTTCCTCCTCACATCACTTCCTCCTCACATCACTTCCTCCTCACATCACTTCCTCCTCACATCACTTCCTCCTCACAACACTTCCACCTCACATCACTTCCTCCTCACATCACTTCCTCCTCACATCACTTCCTCCTCACATCACTTCCTCCTCACATCACTTCCTCCTTACATCACTTCCTCCTCACAACACTTCCTCCTCACATCACTTCCTCCTCATATCACTTCCTCCTCACATCACTTCCTCCTCACAACACTTCCTCCTCACATCACTTCCTCCTCACATCACTTCCTCCTCACATCACTTCCTCCTCACATCACTTCCTCCTCACATCACTTCCTCCTCACATCACTTCCTCCTCACATCACTTCCTCTCACATCACTTCCTCCTCACATCACTTCCTCCTCACAACACTTCCTCCTCACATCACTTCCTCCTCACATCACTTCCTCCTCACATCACTTCCTCCTCACAACACTTCCTCCTCACATCACTTCCTCCTCACATCACTTCCTCCTCACAACACTTCCTCCTCACATCACTTCCTCCTCACAACACTTCCTCCTCACATCACTTCCTCCTCACATCACTTCCTCCTCACATCACTTCCTCCTCACATCACTTCCTCCTCACAACACTTCCTCCTCACATCACTTCCTCCTCACATCACTTCCTCCTCACATCACTTCCTCCTCACATCACTTCCTCCTCACAACACTTCCTCCTCACATCACTTCCTCCTCACAACACTTCCTCCTCACATCACTTCCTCCTCACAACACTTCCTCCTCACATCACTTCCTCCTCACATCACTTCCTCCTCACATCACTTCCTCCTCACATCACTTCCTCCTCACAACACTTCCTCCTCACAACACTTCCTCCTCACAACACTTCCTCCTCACATCACTTCCTCCTCACAACACTTCCTCCTCACATCACTTCCTCCTCACATCACTTCCTCCTCACATCACTTCCTCCTCACAACACTTCCTCCTCACATCACTTCCTCCTCACAACACTTCCTCCTCACATCACTTCCTCCTCACATCACTTCCTCCTCACATCACTTCCTCCTCACATCACTTCCTCCTCACATACACTTCCTCCTCACATCACTTCCTCCTCACATCACTTCCTCCTCACATCACTTCCTCCTCACAACACTTCCTCCTCACATCACTTCCTCCTCACAACACTTCCTCCTCACATCACTTCCTCCTCACATCACTTCCTCCTCACATCACTTCCTCCTCACATCACTTCCTCCTCACAACACTTCCTCCTCACATCACTTCCTCCTCACAACACTTCCTCCTCACATCACTTCCTCCTCACAACACTTCCTCCTCACATCACTTCCTCCTCACATCACTTCCTCCTCACATCACTTCCTCCTCACATCACTTCCTCCTCACATCACTTCCTCCTCACATCACTTCCTCCTCACATCACTTCCTCCTCACAACACTTCCTCCTCACATCACTTCCTCCTCACCTCACTTCCTCCTCACATCACTTCCTCCTCACATCACTTCCTCCTCACATCACTTCCTCCTCACATCACTTCCTCCTCACAACACTTCCTCCTCACATCACTTCCTCCTCACATCACTTCCTCCTCACATCACTTCCTCCTCACATCACTTCCTCCTCACAACACTTCCTCCTCACATCACTTCCTCCTCACAACACTTCCTCCTCACATCACTTCCTCCTCACAACACTTCCTCCTCACATCACTTCCTCCTCACATCACTTCCTCCTCACATCACTTCCTCCTCACATCACTTCCTCCTCACATCACTTCCTCCTCACAACACTTCCTCCTCACAACACTTCCTCCTCACATCACTTCCTCCTCACAACACTTCCTCCTCACAACACTTCCTCCTCACATCACTTCCTCCTCACATCACTTCCTCCTCACATCACTTCCTCCTCACAACACTTCCTCCTCACATCACTTCCTCCTCACAACACTTCCTCCTCACATCACTTCCTCCTCACATCACTTCCTCCTCACATCACTTCCTCCTCACATCACTTCCTCCTCACAACACTTCCTCCTCACATCACTTCCTCCTCACAACACTTCCTCCTCACATCACTTCCTCCTCACAACACTTCCTCCTCACATCACTTCCTCCTCACATCACTTCCTCCTCACATCACTTCCTCCTCACATCACTTCCTCCTCACATCACTTCCTCCTCACATCACTTCCTCCTCACATCACTTCCTCCTCACAACACTTCCTCCTCACATCACTTCCTCCTCACCTCACTTCCTCCTCACATCACTTCCTCCTCACATCACTTCCTCCTCACATCACTTCCTCCTCACATCACTTCCTCCTCACAACACTTCCTCCTCACATCACTTCCTCCTCACAACACTTCCTCCTCACATCACTTCCTCCTCACAACACTTCCTCCTCACATCACTTCCTCCTCACATCACTTCCTCCTCACATCACTTCCTCCTCACATCACTTCCTCCTCACATCACTTCCTCCTCACATCACTTCCTCCTCACATCACTTCCTCCTCACAACACTTCCTCCTCACATCACTTCCTCCTCACCTCACTTCCTCCTCACATCACTTCCTCCTCACATCACTTCCTCCTCACATCACTTCCTCCTCACATCACTTCCTCCTCACAACACTTCCACCTCACATCACTTCCTCCTCACATCACTTCCTCCTCACATCACTTCCTCCTCACATCACTTCCTCCTCACATCACTTCCTCCTTACATCACTTCCTCCTCACAACACTTCCTCCTCACATCACTTCCTCCTCATATCACTTCCTCCTCACATCACTTCCTCCTCACAACACTTCCTCCTCACATCACTTCCTCCTCACATCACTTCCTCCTCACATCACTTCCTCCTCACATCACTTCCTCCTCACATCACTTCCTCCTCACATCACTTCCTCCTCACATCACTTCCTCCTCACATCACTTCCTCCTCACAACACTTCCTCCTCACATCACTTCCTCCTCACATCACTTCCTCCTCACATCACTTCCTCCTCACAACACTTCCTCCTCACATCACTTCCTCCTCACATCACTTCCTCCTCACAACACTTCCTCCTCACATCACTTCCTCCTCACAACACTTCCTCCTCACATCACTTCCTCCTCACATCACTTCCTCCTCACATCACTTCCTCCTCACATCACTTCCTCCTCACAACACTTCCTCCTCACATCACTTCCTCCTCACAACACTTCCTCCTCACATCACTTCCTCCTCACAACACTTCCTCCTCACATCACTTCCTCCTCACATCACTTCCTCCTCACATCACTTCCTCCTCACATCACTTCCTCCTCACATCACTTCCTCCTCACATCACTTCCTCCTCACATCACTTCCTCCTCACATCACTTCCTCCTCACATCACTTCCTCCTCACATCACTTCCTCCTCACATCACTTCCTCCTCACATCACTTCCTCCTCACATCACTTCCTCCTCACAATACTTCCTCCTCACATCACTTCCTCCTCACCTCACTTCCTCCTCACATCACTTCCTCCTCACATCACTTCCTCCTCACATCACTTCCTCCTCACATCACTTCCTCCTCACAACACTTCCTCCTCACATCACTTCCTCCTCACATCACTTCCTCCTCACATCACTTCCTCCTCACAACACTTCCTCCTCACATCACTTCCTCCTCACAACACTTCCTCCTCACATCACTTCCTTCTCACATCACTTCCTCCTCACATCACTTCCTCCTCACATCACTTCCTCCTCACATCACTTCCTCCTCAGATCACTTCCTCCTCACATCACTTCCTCCTCACATCACTTCCTCCTCACACACTTCCTCCTCACATCACTTCCTCCTCACATCACTTCCTCCTCACATCACTTCCTCCTCACATCACTTCCTCCTCACATCACTTCCTCCTCACATCACTTCCTCCTCACATCACTTCCTCCTCACATCACTTCCTCCTCACATCACTTCCTCCTCACATCACTTCCTCCTCACAACACTTCCTCCTCACATCACTTCCTCCTCACATCACTTCCTCCTCACATCACTTCCTCCTCACATCACTTCCTCCTCACATCACTTCCTCCTCACAACACTTCCTCCTCACATCACTTCCTCCTCACATCACTTCCTCCTCACATCACTTCCTCCTCACATCACTTCCTCCTCACATCACTTCCTCCTCACATCACTTCCTCCTCACATCACTTCCTCCTCACATCACTTCCTCCTCACAACACTTCCTCCTCACATCACTTCCTCCTCACATCACTTCCTCCTCACATCACTTCCTCCTCACAACACTTCCTCCTCACATCACTTCCTCCTCACAACACTTCCTCCTCACATCACTTCCTCCTCACATCACTTCCTCCTCACATCACTTCCTCCTCACATCACTTCCTCCTCACATCACTTCCTCCTCACAACACTTCCTCCTCACATCACTTCCTCCTCACAACACTTCCTCCTCACATCACTTCCTCCTCACAACACTTCCTCCTCACATCACTTCCTCCTCACATCACTTCCTCCTCACATCACTTCCTCCTCACATCACTTCCTCCTCACATCACTTCCTCCTCACATCACTTCCTCCTCACATCACTTCCTCCTCACAACACTTCCTCCTCACATCACTTCCTCCTCACCTCACTTCCTCCTCACATCACTTCCTCCTCACATCACTTCCTCCTCACATCACTTCCTCCTCACATCACTTCCTCCTCACAACACTTCCTCCTCACATCACTTCCTCCTCACATCACTTCCTCCTCACATCACTTCCTCCTCACATCACTTCCTCCTCACAACACTTCCTCCTCACATCACTTCCTCCTCACAACACTTCCTCCTCACATCACTTCCTCCTCACAACACTTCCTCCTCACATCACTTCCTCCTCACATCACTTCCTCCTCACATCACTTCCTCCTCACATCACTTCCTCCTCACATCACTTCCTCCTCACATCACTTCCTCCTCACATCACTTCCTCCTCACAACACTTCCTCCTCACATCACTTCCTCCTCACCTCACTTCCTCCTCACATCACTTCCTCCTCACATCACTTCCTCCTCACATCACTTCCTCCTCACATCACTTCCTCCTCACAACACTTCCTCCTCACATCACTTCCTCCTCACATCACTTCCTCCTCACATCACTTCCTCCTCACATCACTTCCTCCTCACATCACTTCCTCCTCATATCACTTCCTCCTCACATCACTTCCTCCTCACAACACTTCCTCCTCACATCACTTCCTCCTCACATCACTTCCTCCTCACATCACTTCCTCCTCACATCACTTCCTCCTCACATCACTTCCTCCTCACATCACTTCCTCCTCACAATCACTTCCTCCTCACATCACTTCCTCCTCACAACACTTCCTCCTCACAACACTTCCTCCTCACATCACTTCCTCCTCACAACACTTCCTCCTCACAACACTTCCTCCTCACATCACTTCCTCCTCACAACACTTCCTCCTCACATCACTTCCTCCTCACATCACTTCCTCCTCACATCACTTCCTCCTCACATCACTTCCTCCTCACATCACTTCCTCCTCACATCACTTCCTCCTCACATCACTTCCTCCTCACATCACTTCCTCCTCACAACACTTCCTCCTCACATCACTTCCTCCTCACCTCACTTCCTCCTCACATCACTTCCTCCTCACATCACTTCCTCCTCACATCACTTCCTCCTCACATCACTTCCTCCTCACAACACTTCCTCCTCACATCACTTCCTCCTCACATCACTTCCTCCTCACATCACTTCCTCCTCACATCACTTCCTCCTCACATCACTTCCTCCTCATATCACTTCCTCCTCACATCACTTCCTCCTCACAACACTTCCTCCTCACATCACTTCCTCCTCACATCACTTCCTCCTCACATCACTTCCTCCTCACATCACTTCCTCCTCACATCACTTCCTCCTCACATCACTTCCTCCTCACATCACTTCCTCCTCACAACACTTCCTCCTCACATCACTTCCTCCTCACAACACTTCCTCCTCACAACACTTCCTCCTCACATCACTTCCTCCTCACAACACTTCCTCCTCACAACACTTCCTCCTCACATCACTTCCTCCTCACATCACTTCCTCCTCACATCACTTCCTCCTCACATCACTTCCTCCTCACATCACTTCCTCCTCACATCACTTCCTCCTCACATCACTTCCTCCTCACATCACTTCCTCCTCACATCACTTCCTCCTCACATCACTTCCTCCTCACATCACTTCCTCCTCACAACACTTCCTCCTCACATCACTTCCTCCTCACAACACTTCCTCCTCACATCACTTCCTCCTCACAACACTTCCTCCTCACATCACTTCCTCCTCACATCACTTCCTCCTCACATCACTTCCTCCTCACATCACTTCCTCCTCACATCACTTCCTCCTCACATCACTTCCTCCTCACATCACTTCCTCCTCACATCACTTCCTCCTCACAACACTTCCTCCTCACATCACTTCCTCCTCACCTCACTTCCTCCTCACATCAATTCCTCCTCACATCACTTCCTCCTCACATCACTTCCTCCTCACATCACTTCCTCCTCACAACACTTCCTCCTCACATCACTTCCTCCTCACATCACTTCCTCCTCACATCACTTCCTCCTCACAACACTTCCTCCTCACATCACTTCCTCCTCACAACACTTCCTCCTCACATCACTTCCTCCTCACATCACTTCCTCCTCACATCACTTCCTCCTCACATCACTTCCTCCTCACATCACTTCCTCCTCACATCACTTCCTCCTCACATCACTTCCTCCTCACATCACTTCCTCCTCACAATCACTTCCTCCTCACATCACTTCCTCCTCACATCACTTCCTCCTCACATCACTTCCTCCTCACATCACTTCCTCCTCACATCACTTCCTCCTCACATCACTTCCTCCTCACATCACTTCCTCCTCACATCACTTCCTCCTCACATCACTTCCTCCTCACAACACTTCCTCCTCACATCACTTCCTCCTCACATCACTTCCTCCTCACATCACTTCCTCCTCACATCACTTCCTCCTCACATCACTTCCTCCTCACATCACTTCCTCCTCACATCACTTCCTCCTCACATCACTTCCTCCTCACATCACTTCCTCCTCACATCACTTCCTCCTCACAACACTTCCTCCTCACATCACTTCCTCCTCACATCACTTCCTCCTCACATCACTTCCTCCTCACATCACTTCCTCCTCACATCACTTCCTCCTCACATCACTTCCTCCTCACATCACTTCCTCCTCACAACACTTCCTCCTCACATCACTTCCTCCTCACATCACTTCCTCCTCACATCACTTCCTCCTCACAACACTTCCTCCTCACATCACTTCCTCCTCACATCACTTCCTCCTCACATCACTTCCTCCTCACATCACTTCCTCCTCACATCACTTCCTCCTCACATCACTTCCTCCTCACAACACTTCCTCCTCACATCACTTCCTCCTCACATCACTTCCTCCTTACATCACTTCCTCCTCACAACACTTCCTCCTCACATCACTTCCTCCTCACAACACTTCCTCCTCACATCACTTCCTCCTCACATCACTTCCTTCTCACATCACTTCCTCCTCACATCACTTCCTCCTCACATCACTTCCTCCTCACATCACTTCCTCCTCACATCACTTCCTCCTCACATCACAGGACTCCCCTCACACCGCTCCCCCCACAGGTCTCCCCCACAGCGCTCCCCCCACAGCGCTCCCCCCACAGAGCTCCCCCCACAGCGCTCCCACCACAGCGCTCCCACCACTAGGCTCCCCCCACAAGGCCCCCCCTACACCACTCGCCCCACAGCCCTCCCCCCACAGCGCTCTCCCCACAGCCCTCCCCCCACAGCCCTACCCCCACAGGGCTCTCACCGCAGTTCCCGGGAAGCGCGCGCACCCGTTTTGCACGAAGAGGTGCGAGCGGTTGAGAGCTAACCCGTCGTTCGTCACAAACACATTCTCCAGCCGCATCATCTGCAGCGCATGCGCCCCGTGCGGCGTGAAGTCCTGCTGGTGCGAGCACGTCTCGTCAAACGGCAACCTCCCCTTGTCCTGCCCTGCACTGTCCCCTTTAAGGGGGCAGTTTATAGGAGGGGCGATTTCAGTCTCGGGTTCGTCCATGAGGTGGGGGTTCCAGCAGGCCTGCACGTTGGGGAAGCGGGCGGTGCATGAGCCGAAGGAGGGACAGGGAGGGCCGTGGCACCCAAGCTTCACTTGCCATTCTGACTCGCCTGAGACACTCCCTTCTGAGACACGTTCTTCTGAAACACTGTTCGCTGCAGCAGCACTTGTAACATTTCCTGTAGAATCTTCCAAACTGCCACCTGAGAAGTCATTTGAACTGCCACTTGGCCCGTCACCTGAACCTCCGTGTGAGATGTTACTATCTGACGCGCATGCGCTGTCACTGGCGCTGACTGGCTTGATTGGAGCTCCGGAGAGATCGGAGCGCTCGGCATTGCGATGAGGAAGGTGTTCAAAGAAGCCCATGAAGACGTTGGACAGGCGAGAGGTGTCGACAGGGCAGCGCAGGGGACGAATCACGAGGCTGACTCGCTCCGGGTGGATCCTGGCATGGAAGGGAGGGGAAGGGGGCGTAACAGAGAACAGGATGAGTGGATAATGTGTGTGCCTGTGTGTGTGCGTGTCTGCGTGCATGTGTGCATGCGTGCGTGCCTGCGTGCGTGCATGCATGCGTGAAAGAAAGGTGTTCAAAGAAGCCCATAAACACGTGGGACAGGCGAGAGGTGTCGAGAGGGCAGCCCAGCAGACGAATCACGAGGGTGAAGTTGGTGAGAATTCGGTTTCTCTAAGTCCAAAACCAGGCTGTCTGTCAGGCCGCCTGTCTCAGCAAAGGGTGAACCCCCTGCGTGGCAGCCATGATTGTATCACGGGTGGGGCGGAGCGGGCATGGCTGGCGGCTGTCTGGCATGCTCTCAGGGGCATGGCTGGCTGCCTGCGCTAGCTCATGGACATGGCGGCACGGGCATGGCGGCATGGGCATGGCATGGCAGCATGGGCATGGCGGCATGGGCATGGTGGCATGGGCATAGCATGAGCATGGTGGCATGGGAATGGCATGAGCATGGCGACATGGGCATGGCAGGAAGGGGTATGGCGGCACGAGCATGGCTGCACGAGCATGGCTGCACGAGCATGGCGGCACGAGCATGGCTGCACGAGCATGGCTGCACGAGCATGGCTGAACGAGCATGGCTGCATGGGCAGGGCATGAAGGCGGCATCTTGGACCGAAAGGAGGTCTCCAATGCAGGGCCATGCTGCCATGAATGGAACCAGAATCACCGACCATGGTCAGCCGCCGGGCTGCGGGTATCACGTCCGCAAATGTTCCCCTCATCATGAGCCCACTACACCACCTGGTTGGCCCTTGCGTGCTGCAAAGGGAGGTATGAGCCATGGCTCAATCGCTAGGCACCGCCCTTCGCTGCGTGCCAATTCTATGTCTGGGTGAACAGGGACTGGGCTCGGCCTGATGGTACTAAGGCGTGCAGCGCCAGGAGTCTAATTTTGGGCGCCTCAAAAAGTTGACAAGGGCGCGGCCTGATAAGGGCTCGGCCTGACAAGGGCTCGGCCTGACAAGGGCTCGGCCTGACAAGGGCTCGGCCTGACAAGGGCTCGGCCTGATAAGGGCTCGGTCTGATAAGGGCTCGGCCTGATAAGGGCTTGGTCTGATAAGGGCTCGGTCTGTGCAGCGCCAGGAGATGGAAACATATATATCGTCCGCTTGCTAGCTGGTGCAGCCTCTACTATTGCTGCCAAGGGGGAAGAAGCGTATTACTAGGTCGACCGGGCCTGCTGCCTAGTGATTCGCCAGATTCATTAGTTGTCAAACCGACCTGAATCGCTCTGGCAGGTAATAGTTGAGCTCGCCTTCGAACTCTGCCACTCTGCCCGCCAGATTGAGGCTCGGAGAATGCTGGCCGTTCGATGCGGCTGAAAAGAAGTATCGCACGGGGGGGTCATCATGGACAAAAGGAGGGGGGGTGATGAAAAAGGGACGCAGGCAGGGAGGGAGCGGGAAGAGGTGCTGCGATGGCCTAGTACTACAACTCTCGTTACCGTCATTCACGGCGGATGCATTGACGGAAATCGTCATGAAGACGGCGACGACCACCCGGAACAATCGCCGATTAGTAGCGTCAGGCTGCGCCATTATAAAGTCTCGAGACGATCACAGAATGACTCGCGCAACTGCTGCTACTCGAGTAGAAGCGGCCACAGCGATACCCTAGAAAAATCCGGCGGAGAACTCACAGCGCTGTATACTACGGATAGAGCAGTTCAACCCTAAGTTGGGGTTGATGTGACCGTCACGGCTATGCTCAATAAGCAGCAATTCACATCACAGGACGCACATCAGTGGTAGGCGCGCCAGGGAGCTCACCTACCTAGGGTGACCTGAGCTTTCACCTGGCAGTTACTAGACGATGCCTGCATCCCAAAAATGTTTGGCCGAAATACTAAGTAAACACAATGCCTACACATTGTCTTTACGTAGAGCGCACATAGTACTGACGAACTATGTAAGTATAGGTTCTGCGACAAACAAGCTACTCTTCACCTGGCAATACAGTACGTGCTTTGTACTTACTTGAAATCATACTACGAATGTATATTGTACATGGTCCGCATACAGAAAGCATTTACTCCCATCAACCAATTACAGTTAGTACGAGGTTCACACTATGAAACCAGTCGCCCTAAAACGTGCAGTATATACATAGTAATTACGTTATGCTCACAAAGCAATACCCGTTTTGATTGTACATTGTAAGCATGTTACATCGCCTCTGTTCATTAACATATGCTATGGTGGATAGTCATAAATTTGAAATTTGTAGTTGAATGTATAAACTAATAAAACAATACACAAGAACACAACCAACTAAACTCAACTCTAAACCGTCGAATGGGTAAAAGCCTTCACAGGCATGAATCTTCACGATCATCGATAGCTGGCAGACACGACCAACCCACCCTGAAAAAACAGGAGACAACGTACGACGTTTAAAATAAGCGCTGGAAACTAACCAATTAGCTGCCAACAACTGTGGGAAAACGAATACAGCTGAGGTCAAATACAGCATAATAGGGTATGCTGGACTGCCAAACCAGTCGCCTGCAAAATCACGACACACTCACGTCTCGTTAGCGCTAGGAAAACGGGCTCTAAAGTGAAGCAAAGCTCTATGTACTAACCATGGTGTCGCTGCACGCACGCCATTGTGGCCAGAAGTCATGCGTACACGATGGCTAAAAATACGTGAAAATCGAAGAGAAGCTTTGAAGTAACGCCTAATATTTTGAAGGTGACTGAAGGATCCAACTCGACGGGAGCGTGGTTGCCGGTAAGGAACCCGAAGAAGGCAACTAAGGCCAGAAAGACAGTCGCGATGGAAAATGAGAGCTGCAAGCAATGAAGTGGAGGAGGAAATGAAGATGTGCTCAGAATATACCAAGTCAAGCAGTGAGTTCCTCCCCCGAAATCTGAGCCTGATTGAACATGAACCAATCCGAATCGAGATCTCAATATCTTGTGCCAACTCACTGCATCTCTCGATCTTAACCATTGAACGCCTGAATACATCTACAATTACAGTTTTATAGCCAATCACACAATGACAGCTGAAAGAGTCACGTAATTTCTGCTGTCTAGCGAAATAGCAGGTTGATGCACCTGAAATCTAGATCGTTCGAAGTTAGGACCATCAACGGTTGTGATTCCAACCTTTCTAATGTTGGTGCTTAATCTTCACCGTCCCCTTTGTTTCTCATCGACAGTTGTACTCAGCCTTTGCATCTAAAAATCGACGACTGAAAAAAAACCAATCTGTCAGAATGTTATAATTGTCTAGCCTGCAGTGGGGTACTCTATAGCGAGTACAACCCAATTAGGGTTTCCTATATGTATGCCAACTGCTGCTAGTGCAAATCCTCCTTTCTTCATTTCTCCTTCTGACTGCTACTTCTGATATGGTTTCAGAGCAGGTCGACCCCCTTGGGTCGATCCTGTGGGTGGGCCCACCACCTAATGCTTCCGCTGCTCTACTCCTGTCGCGCGCCCCGGGCGCGCTACCCTTTCTTCCTGCCGGTTTCCCGGTTTCCCTGTGTGGCGCGCGCCCGGGGGGCGCGCGGCCCTTTTTCTTCCTGGCGAGGCGCGCGCGCCCCCCCGTCCGTCCGTTGTGCCGCCCTGGCGAGGCGCGCGCGGCCCCCGCCCGTCAGTCGTGGCGCCCTGGGGGGCAGCGCGCGCTCCCCGCCCGTCCGTCGTGGCGCCTTGGGGGCAGCGCGCTCGGCCCCCGCCCGTCCGTCGTCGCGCCCTCGAGGGCAACGCGCGGCCCCCGCCCGTCCGTCGTGGCGCCTTGGGGGGCAGCGCGCGCTCCCCGCCCGTCCTGTCGCGGCGCCCTGGCATGGCGCGCGCGGCCCCTGCTGCTTCGCCGCGGCGCCCTGGCCAGGCGCGCGCGGCCCCTGCTGTTTCGTCGCGGCGCCCTGGCCAGGCGCGCGCGGCTCCTGCAGGACCGTCACGGCGCCCTGGCAAGGCGCGCGCGGCCCCTGCTGGTCCGTTGCGGCGCCCTGGCTAGGCGCTCGCGGCCCCTTCCTGTCCCGTCCCCCCCCCCCCCCCCGTGCTGCCCATTACTCTCGTGCCGCCGTGCGTTCTGCGGTGGTGGGGGGTGTGGGGTGGCGAGCATGGGGGTGCGCGGTGTGGGTGCTCCCCTTCCCTTTCCCCTCCTCCTTGTTCGTCTCCCACTGCTGCAGCTGCTGCTGAGGGGGGTGGAGGTGTGGGAGTCGCGGGGAGTGGAGCTAGGGGGGTGACGTGGAAGTGGAGCTAGGGTTTCTGCAAGAGGTGTGTGAAAGGGGTGTGGGTCAGTTGGAGGAGGTTGTGTGGAGGTAGCTGTCGTGTCGCCTGCAGCGCCTGTAGTCCGTCGCCCTTGCTTCAGTAGCCAGTGAGCCTGTTGCACCAGTCGCCAGTGGGTCCGTTGCTCCTGCCGCTCGTCTTAGCCGCGGAGCCAGTCACTCCAGTAGTCCGTCGCCCTTGCTTCGGTAGCCACTGAGTCAGCCGCTCCTGTGCCCGTGCCTCTGCAGCTTCAATCGTTGCCTCCCATCTTCTCTCCTTCCACAGTTCCTCCTCCTCCTCACTTGCCCGCTGTGATTACCTCTAGCTTTGCTTATAATTGTGAACTATTACTATGCTTGCTCATTGTGCTGATTACACCCCACTTTGGCTATGGGGGTGTGTCAGAATGTTATAATTGTCTAGCTTGCAGTGGGGTACTCTATAGCGAGTACAACCCAATTAGGGTTTCCTATATGTATGCCAACTGCTGCTAGTGCAAATCCTCCTTTCTTCATTTCTCCTTGTGACTGCTACTTCTGATACAATCGACGGCTCACATTCCAACCTTTTGTGAGGAACGAATCATAGGCAGCCCCGAATGCAATGGTTAACAGATATGGAATCGACGGCTGAGATTATCGTTTGTGTGATTAGGGTAAAAAATGACTAGCCCCTCCTCTAAACTCCAAGGGCGTTGGAAGCGATGCATTGAAGTACATACACACTTGTTTCTGTGTGGAGAGCTGTTTTTTAGGGTGAGTATGCACATCGCACCCTCCAATGGTCTACGAGCAGGCTGGAGGTGTCGAGTGTAGTGTGTCTGTACTCCACCCTAATTTCATTGTCCATACTTCGCTTCCGAGTTGGTTGTGCAAGTGCACTCGCTACCAGGAGGGGGGTTTACACTGTATCTGCACACGCTACACCCTAGCAGTACTTGACTCGAGCACGCGAAGTACGCACTTCGTCTTCCCTTTCGCTCGGGCCCCGAGAGGGAATTTTGGGATGTGCGAGATTCTAAAGTAGAGACGGAGAATGTTCGTGAAAGCAAAATGCTGCTTTCCTCGTCGCCACGTAAGAGTGGCCTTTTCCGGATGCGCTGGTGGGCCGGCGACTCGCCGAGGTAGAACTTCCTGCCAAATTCATGATCCATAGCTGAAAATTGCCTCCATGTAGGACTTCCAACCGAACCGACTACTAGACACAGCATTGGCAGCCCCCTCGCCTATGTATGTGCCCGCGTGCGTCAGAAATTGAGACTCCGAACCGAACCGAAAGTTGAGGCTGGTGTCGCTCCCAGAGCGATTAGGGACTGCCGACTAACGTCGAGCAACGTCTAGCCGCCACATCAGCGCGAGCAAGGGCAAACCGACCACGCTCACTATGGCTTATCAAGTGGGTGGGGGTGGGAATCAATTCGACCATAAAACATGTCGGTGGTTGGGGTGTGCCGCCACCTAAGCACGAGTGATACTCTAACTCGAAAGGTACATGAATGTAGACTCTCCTTCTACCGGCTACAATACACGGAGTTGCGTCTAATGCGGGTCCAGCAAGAGAAACGAGTTTCGGCAAGAGAACGACCTACGGAGAAGAGTTTTGGGGGCAAATATCAAATTGGGCCGAAAAATAGCAGGAGGGTGTCCAAATTAGGGCCGGGTAATCGAACCTGGAAATATGGATTTAAAATATATATTTTTCCAGATTCTCATAATATATTTCACTTGACTCAGGTTCTGACTGTTGACAGGAAATGGCCTCGCCCTCGCTTGGACGTAGCAGACTTCGCAGTCGGGGGCGCGCAGAAGTCAATGTAAACTGCGTGCAGAAAGCGACCTCAATGTGCCCGCAGAGTTCGACCTCGACGCGTTGCAGAAGACGTTGGTTGACGAGCTCGTATAGGACGCTGGCCGACGGACTCGCAGAGGACGCTGGTCGACGAGTCCGTCGAGAAGTTCGGTTCGACGGGACCTTCTCGGTATAGGAGATCCTCTACAAGGCCGGTATAGGAGCTCCTCGACGAGGCTGGTAGAGGGCTCGTCTAGGCGAAAGCTGATCGACGGAGCATTCGTCGAGCTACTCTACGGAAGTCGCGCGACAGCGAAATTCGTCATATGGGCGAATGTCGCCCAGGAAGTTTTCGCGAAGTCAACCTGCGGAACGGCATCACGTGCTCGACGGCGCACCGCTGGTGAAACCGCTGGCACGTGTTCTACATGGCACCTGCGCAATGTGCTTAGCGGCGCGTCCGTCTACCTGCACCT